TCTTACGCTCTTCCAGAGCATTGAGGTATACGCCATATATGGGCCCATATGCAAGTGGCCTCAAAGATTTTCAAATTTGCTCACTTTGGATAATCTCTCATCAGTTGACATCCATTTCCGACTCCCAATGGTTCAAGCAACCCCTGTATGTTTGAACTATATAAAGGTCAGTGAGCTCCACTCCTCCTTTCATCAATTGATGGTTTCAAGAATGTTCTGAGGATTTAAACACGTTGCCAGCGGTGTCAGTGATATAAGCCGAATTTTAAAACTGCTGAGTGTGGCACTATTACCATTAGTTCGATCTGTAATTCAGCATAAGTAAGCGTGAACTCCTGTTTCCGGTTGTAACACAGAAGTTCGTGGAATTTAAACATTCGGTTCCTAAGGCTGAAATCTCTACATGCGACCCGAAATGTATGCATTTAATTGCGAGCTCTAAACAATTCTACTATACTGCTAACGCAAGGCACCAGGAATAACTCAGAGTTATATCGTTCAAATAAGAACACCATGCAGTTCCGGCAAAGCAAGTGAATTGAAGTAGGCATTTATAGTAACACGGTTTGATTTAAATCAAATGTGTGTACTGTGTCTTTATTAAATGTAGTTAGGGCTCTCGTCAGCAACGCATCGTTAATCATGTGTACACATTAGAATGCATTCTGTCACAAACTCAAGTGAAAGCGCCTAGTATATTTCACATCATTTTTACAAGCTCATTGTGGTTGCAAATAATCTGTTTCCGGTGCTTATCACCGAGAGGTACGCATGTCATCATCGGTATACCTGGAAAAATTTTACTTCGTAAGCCAGATTTACACTTGCATCTGTCCACGGTGAATGATGAAAAGCGGTTTCCGTCTTCATGGCTTTGTGAGTCACGCAACGCCCGCTTGGTGATTTACGTTGTCAACAAGAACCAAGCTTATCTGAGAGATTGTGCGTTCAAACCGGTGATATGCTCACGCCGCATCATCACAGTAAACCTCAACTCCGCATCTTGATGCGACTTTCATCAGCAAGCGATCTCTTACCTGAAAAGTACGTGATGGACTTCGTTGCAAATATCAAGCCTATTGAGATGTTTGGCGCTATGATATATTACTACAGATATGTCGAAAATCATGATTGAATGTAAACTTGGCCGTATGTCGTGCATGATATTAGAACGTGTCGGTTGTTATGAAACCACGTTTGTGGGACTAAACCAAAACACAACGTGCTATGTGTCGAGTGGAAACAATCACCCCGACCTGCCAAAGGCGAGCTCTGGTTGATGATACTACTTGATTAATTTTACGGAAGCACAAGGAAGCCCTTCGGGGTACAGTGCGAATTTAGAATCCATTTGGGAATGGCCACTGTATGTTATATGTAAGAGAGTCAATTAAAAACATCGTTGCTTTTTTTGCAGTCGGTAAATCCTGCAAGCATCGAGACCGTTTTGACGGAACAAAGCTTGAGCTTGTTTATAAGAACGTGTGTTGTAGATACACCGGTTTTTCATTTGGTTATGCGATCAATATTTTGAACGTGTTTCTTGCAACATTCCATTAGAAATTTCTCACCAAAAATACATTTAGATGGTCAACATTTGCTCCGAACCACTGAGATAATTCGTCACTTTCGCCTAATCAAACACATCTACATAAGTTTCGAAAATTTTGAGACAGCGGACTTTACTCTAACCCCTGTTGAATACATCACTTGTTTACATGTAACCTCCAAATCAGCTTCAAATTGTAAATTGCGTTCAACTCACTTATTCCGTAGCGTTTTCCTTTGCCCATTTTAACATGTGCTCTATCCGGGCTCGAAAGACATTTGTGCAGGGTGATAACTATTGATTTGCTCAAAAACTATACTGAGAAATGGTACATTAAGGGGGATCCCAAGACATTGCAAGAATCTGCAATAGCAATTCGACGTGCTCTAATATTCGCACCTGAATCGTGTTGGCTTCCTTAACAATGTCCGTTTATGCAAACATATTCCTGCTCTAAAAAGAATCTTCTAATTATTTCCATATGAAGAGTACAGGGATTTTGGTCTCCTGCAACTACTAAAAATGGGATTGTGTAATTTAATAAACCGTACGTTTTACTTGAACCTTTTTGATAGCTCCGAATTTGAAGTTCACAGCGTATGTAGGTGGACTGACACCGTTCCATTGGTGATTTCATTTTCCTAATTTCCTTGAAATACATTGCTATGGCGGAAAACATCTCTGACTGAAAACCGGTCAGCTACAGCTAAACCGTGGAACGAACCCGAAAAAAGACTTCAGTACACATAAAAAGTGTCATCTTGCGCCCACTCACTGCTAGCAAACGAGTATATAACCGTATTCCAGAGGCTTTCCTGGAGATATATCTGATATGTTCATTTACTCATCCCGCTTTTCCCAAGAAATTTCATGTTCTACGTACTCTCGTTCTCCGTTCTTCTTCTTCTCTTCTTCGCTCGTCTCGTTCTCTTCACCATACAAAAACGGATCCGAACTAAACGCTATTTCCTGCAAAGTAAAATCAATAAATATCGTGGTTACACAGGCGGTGTCTGCTGTTCCATTTCGTTACGCCTGCGGTAGTTCTACAATTCCTCATTAAAAGTTTGTTCTCATCACCATTGCCATGGTGACTGCTTTGTTCGCTGTAGTTTTGGGTTGGCAACAGCACAGATTTCCAAAAATTTCTGAGCCTTTTGAGATTATGCTAATTTTGAAATTTCATAAAAATATGTAGAGTTTTCAGAAAAAGGAATGCATCCAGCCAAAGTGGAGCGAAATGCACAACTGGGTATGAAAACGCAAGTAGTGATCAAAATAACACCTGTGGAGCACACATAAACGATCGAAAAAAATATTCACGCAACTTGGCGCGATCAGCAGCGTGCGCGAAATTGCTCATTGACCTCATGAGTACTGAATGATTCGGTTTGGTGAAAGTAATGCAATCTAGTTGTTGCTGCTAGTGGCCAAAAGATTAGAAGTTAGAATTTCCATAAAACACTCTGTTCAAGGTGACTGCACCAATCAACACCTGACAAAGGTCTACTCCATAGGGTTATCCGTCTGATATTTTGTATCCTCAAGGCCACATTATTCGTAGTATATATATTGTCATTATCTCGGGTGGATAATACCGATCCGGCAAAATGTTAGCACAGGCATTCTTTTACGTGAAAAAATTTAGACCACAATAAAAATTTCGAAGAACGTGTGTAGTATATGATCCTAATCAAACGCCCCAACCTTGTATATTTACCAACAAGGATGCATAAAAATGCGCTATCATTTGAGTTAAGAATGGTGAGCGGAAATAATAAGGCAGGTAAAGACTCATCATTGAACATATATCACGTTTCTCGAACGAAAGTTCCAAGTTGTTTGCAGACCAGTATAATGTAGAACAAAACACAATAGCAAATATTCATTTTTTTCAAAATTGTTGTGAAGTAAATTTATATGCAAATCATCCTTTTTAGTTACTCATGTGGGGAAATCGATCACGTAGAACCAAACACGATCACCTGCACTCAATTTAAAAAGCCATAAGTATCCCATAGACATTGGCCATTGCCATGATTCGAGGTTTACTGCTGAATACCGAATGAATGGCTGTATGGGGATCGGGTGGAAGTTTTATTCTTCAAACGCGTTGTTGTTTAAGTTGTTTCCAGCGAAAGTTGCCTCAAAAGGTATGTTCAGCAACGATTCTGATTGCAAAAATACTTACCGCGTGGCGACGAATTTTCAAAATGTACAGACGCATGGTGGACTTTTCATAAATTAATGTTTGAGCAACAAACTCTTGTATGCCACGTGTATTGCCGGATAACTCCCGCAAATTTCTACATGATAGATGTGTGACATCGGTTTCCACAGAAGGCTGGGAGCTGTGAATTATAGGAGCTTGTTTAAATAACGCAGATGTCCAAATATATATGCCACGTAGCAACATTTTAGACGCTTGTGACCACACATGCACACGACATACTCTACCGAGACAAACTGAAGTTAATTATATCAAGCATAAGCTGATTTCGATTACAAGAAAACGGTGAACTTTGCATGAAAGTCAGATTGCGCCTAATGAAATCTTTCAGCTATACACCGCTTAAAGTAAGCTTCTAGCCTAACCTCCAGATTTTTTTCACTCTCAACCTTTTTCTAATTTTAGTAATTTAAATTTCATGTTCTGTTACGTAACGTTGTATGCATGATGTTCAGTGGATCAATTGTGTCCCTCTTCGAAAAGCAACAGAGATCTGTTATGGAAACTTTTGTTATTCTTGATGACCAGCATGCTTTTGAAAACTAGATGAGTTACGGGAATTTGTACGTGTTCACTAGTGATTGAAGCCGGCTTAAATGAATCACGTGGCTGCTCACAATTTGACGTACCCACTGATGCATTTTGTAACACCACAGTCTCATCTGCCGGTGTGCGGCGAAAACATTGCGACTGAGAAAAACAATAATGGGTGTTATCTGGAATATTCATTTCTTTCACAAATGATGCATAGCCCATGTTATTCTTAATTTTTCAGGCCCCAGCAAACTTTTATTGTTTGTTGACCGCGATGAATATAAAATGCATTTTCTTTGTATCTGACAGCGTCTAATGAGTGGAATCCGCGTCTGGTTTGATCTTTGGTTGTCCTTGAAAAGCGAATCCAAATATCCTTGTTATTGACATACGATGACTACGCTACTATATGTTGCAGGCCGTCAACCTATCGTTTTAAATTGGGTGGACGACTGGCCGCTCAATGCTACACGAGGTGTTACAACGCTATAGCCATAATAAAAAGCTTTCAACCGGATGAAGGTGAAAATGTCCATGTGCTTTATTGCTAGTACCCATCAAACTTCACTGTCACTCTCAAATTTGGGTTGAACGCAGTTAGTCAATTATTTACTGCGTGGCGTTGTACATTGTGCATAGATTACAAAAGACCTAATATGATTAGTCATTCTCACAGAATAAATTCTGGTAGCCATCTGCATCTGCAAATTTATTGATGTATGATGTACACAAACACACACGTATACGCTTTGTCTTAGGTAAGTTCTTGTAAAAGGTACTTGTATCAAAAAAGTGCGTTCGTTAGCAAAATACTAAGCTTGATTAAGATTCCCGGGCAAGCATTCGTCAGACCGTCAGGAAAAGTCAAATCCATGGTAAATGTCACATGCTGTGGGAGTAATTCGGTCTTCTTCCCTTAGCTACCCTCTTCTAGATGTTTTAGCTGCAAGTTCACTGCGCATTCACAAAACCTCTCGAAAATCGGTGCATAGTACATACCCTCATGCGCAGAGGAGGGCTAACTTGTGATAAAGTGGCAATTAGTTTAATTTATGAGTACAGGTATGTAAGCTATATAGTACCAAGCGTAGTATAGTGGTATGGTAGTAGTAGCACAGTATAGTACAAAGCTTTTCACTCGTGGCCGAACGGTTAAGTGTTCAAACTACTAGCCGGGAGGTCGTGTGTTCGAGACTCTTCGGAGTGTCGTGAGTTGCGCACTGCTGATGATTCCCACTAAGGATGAAACAGCTGTATAGTGCTTCTCGACTTTTCAGCGTAGAATGGCTACACTGACAGGACAAATTCTACAGAAAATTTCAAATCTCCTCACACTGCCAAAAATTTATATCTAGCCCCGTGGAAGAATAAACTTCACCCGATTGGTTATCTTGACCGTGACCCAGAAGACGTCAATAGATGCCGAGAACTCGTTCTGCGTTCAGTGCAAAAATCGGCGTCCTGGTTGCCGGCTATCGCACATTGAGATACATGCAGGTTGCAGTAAAAAATAATTAACTCATCTTAAAAACCAGATCAAGAATTTCCAAATGTTAGCGTAGTAGTACATATTATTCATCTGTTTCATTATCCGTGAGCCCTTCATCTCTACTTTGGCAGGAGTACATGCCCCGACTAAGCTCTTTTAAATATAATTAGCTGCAAGCTACACAGAACTCCGACTCACCAGCTCACAGTGGAT